TTCAGAGACTTGAGGAGAAGGTGAAGGAGGGAAACGTTGACCAGAGGGAGCAGCTGGTTGGTGTGGAAGCACAGGTCCTGTCCTCTTCTCTCTGCTTGACCGGCTGAGTATTTTTGTTGTTTTTGTTTTATCTGTCGGCTCCGTCTGCTTCCACACAGAGACAAGACTTCCCCAAAGGAATCCCTCAGTGTGGGACGGATGCTTTGAGATTTGCCCTTTGCTCCAACAGGATTCAGGGTGAGGAACTCACAGCTCTGTTTGGTCAAAGACCCCCTTGTCTTGTCCTGAACCACGTTTCAAAAACAAAATGTCTGACTTTCCCGAGTCTCCTCTGCATTATTGGAGCAGATCGTTTTAACCTAATAATAGTTAACTCTTGAATTTGAATGTGTGTCTTTGTCAGGTGATGACATCAGTTTTTCAGTGGCTCAGGTCCTGAGCTGCAGACACTTCTGTAATAAGATGTGGCAGACCCTGAGGTTCACACTGCAAGTTCTTGATGAAAGTTCTCCACCACTGGCAACTATTGAAGAGGTACAGTGAGTGTTACATATATGGTTGTACTGCTGTTTAACAAAAGTTCATCTTATCACTAAGAAGGTGTTTGGAACAGAGCTGGTTGTAGGGTTATACTTCAATAAGATGTAAGACAGCGGGTTGGTGATGGACGTCTTTTTCCTGAGCGAGTATAAACAGGCTGAGGACGTTGCGGGCCATAAATTATCATAGATCCTCCCTCTGCCCTCCCACAGCTCATATAAATATATAAACAACAATAATGATGGCTGGATATTGTGTTTTTCACTTAATGATCAGTGTTGTGTTGGTGAAGAGTTGGCTGAGGAAAAACATTTTTTGTGTTAACGGTGGAACATCAACTGCATTCTCACTTTCATTAGGATCAAACCAGCTGCTCTTTTACTAACTGGCTTCAGACAAATAAACATTTTTAAACAAAATAACACTCAGAAGGCAGGGCTGAGGAGCTGGACCACTGCAGTGTTCCTCATAAACAAACACCCACAAAGTTCTAACCAATCACACGCTCTGAGCAGCAAGGTCCACATCACAGATTTTTGGACCAGGGGATAGCAGGAAGAGAGCAGATGGAAGTTATTCAGTTTTTTGTCACTCAGCAGGGGGGACAAGGTGTGCAACTTGAAGTATAAACCAGCCCTAATGTGGCACTCAGAAACAGTCATGGCCAAAAGTGTTGGCACCCCTGAAATTTTTCCAGAAAATTATTACAAATGCACATTTTTTATACACATGTTCATTTCCTTTGTGTGTATTAGAACAACAAAAGAGACACTGGGCCTCATGCAAGAACCGTTCGTACGCACAGATTTGTTCTTAAGTTGTGAATACGAGTGATTTAGGAGAATTTGTGGCATTCACCAATGTTTTCYTATTCTAAGATTTTTTTCAGATACAAACAAAATTCACGAGTGGTCCAGACCTGTGGTATATTTTACCAGCAGTCAGTCTGCTGTTATCTACAGTGGTTTGCAAAAGTATTCATACCCCTTGAACTTTTCCATATTTTGTCACATTAC